ATTTTTTAAACTAGATATGTGAGAGTATAATACTTAGGAGCATTGAAAATTCATAGAAACTTAGTGACAACATTAAATTACTGTTATTTTTAATTATGACGTAAATTAATCGATGATATCACAGCAAAAGTTTTGGAAAACTAAAAAAAAAAACTGATTAATGTTTTGGCGAGAGAAAGAAAATTTACTTAGTTGAAAACATTTTTTTAAACATTTTATCAACGTATTTAGAACATGAGTTTATAAAATTATTCAACTGAATTTAAATTTATTGCAAAATCGAATAGTTTTAAAAACCACGGAAAAAATTCTGATAAAATTACAGTACTCTATGGTAATGACATCTCTGGTATAGAAAAAAATAATTCTGGTACTAAAAACCAAAATATACACTATATAAATATTTCATTTGGAAATTTTTCCATTGATATGGTAGCACTTTACCCGAAATTTTGATTTTCAAAATAATTACCACACATTTAAAACAAATATAAAACTGAAAAGTAAATTTAACCAAACAAATAGTCTTGCTCTAAGGTTTCGTAATAAAATCATTAAGTTTTACCTCATCTACCAAATTTTATTACATATTATAAAACCTAATTTTATTAATACTTTACCAAAATTCTTATCAAAGCTCTTCAGTAAAAATTAACTGGCTTTTTGTTTTTCCCATAGAGCCAGAAATATGGCAAATTTTACCATACTCTGGTAGTTTGACCATGCTTTTTTCTCAGTGTGGTTTAGGAGAAAATAATGATAATTTATTTAGAATCATCATGATTCTGATTTTTTTAATACCATGCAATGATTTATATCTTAGTGCAGTAAAGCATGTTTTACTTTAGAACATCTTCCTAGGTACAAAACTTTTTAAAAAAAATAATAATTTTTCTATAGCTCACTATAAAGAAAAAATATATTTGGTACAAAAAAGTAATTTTCTTTCTTTATTCTAACCAATCAGCTTCTTTGTTTCGTAACCAAACGAAATTCATTCACATTTATGAAGAAGTTAAATTTTTGTTATTCTTTCTCAATCTCTAAAAAACAATAATACCGAATTGGCTATTAGAGAATGTGATATCATTATCTACCATTTTCTTGAAATATGGAATTATGCATCCATACCCATGGATCAACCTTTGCTTCATTCATCGAGATTCTAGATTGACTATTTTCATATATTAAGTTAAAACTGGGAACTTCTATTCTTTGTATTATATTTTCGCAATATAATTTTTTTCATATAATTTAAATCCTGAAATTAATAAAATGTTTTTTTAAACATAAAATCAGTTCAAATAAAATTGTACCAAATCTGTGATCAAATTACCATTTATTTGTTGTCCCAAGGTAAAACAAATTGCACCAATTGCAATTTCAACTTCAAGTTGCGTTCAACTTTTTATTTTAAAGTTTCTTAGTTGTTGACAAAACACATTACAGAGAATAACATTTGTAAATTTAAAGGATGAAATAGTAGATTGTATATCTGACTATAAGCGCCGAAGTTTGATTGAAATTGAGGTGACGAAAGTGTTCCGAAGTACTAAAATCTCTCTAAATCTCTCGTACTTATTAATTATTCTAAAATCTCTCGTACTTATTAATTATAAAAAGCTATCAAATCATAAGATGAATAGTTCGTCTCTGTGTGTTTCTCTTATAAAACCGGAACATTCTGAAATTTGAACAGGGGAAGAAAGGAACAAATTTTGCTCCGGAGCTCCGGATAAAACTCTTTCAAAAATTTCAGTTAGATTGTTCGTAAGAGACGCTCGAAAAATGGAATTTTCTCACTAGCTTATATCTTGCGATTAATATAAATTAAATTGCAGATGATTTTTAATTTTTAATATATTTTAATGATAACATCAGTGATGATTGACAAAAAGATGAGCAAAATATAATGTTAAGTGAAAATAAAAGTCAGAATTATTTTAGCTTTATTAATTGTGTTGTCTGTCAGTTTGTGTCTCATTGCTTCAGTACTGATTTATGGATTATTTTATTTGTTTTTCACTCAAAATGGTAAACGACAATGAAATATGATTTTTTTCAGGTTTAGTAAATATCTCATTTAAAACCTCTCAAAAATGTTTTATATTTTATCAAAATTTCATTTCTCTAAATTACTTTCTAGGATCGTTTTTAAATAATGTAGAAGTTATAAAATATATTGTGATGTGTGAAAAATAGCTTTAGGAAAAAATTAGAAAATTCAGATTATGGTATTTGAATTGATTAACAACAAAAGATTATTATATTCAGAAGGATTAACAAATTTAAACTAAAATTATATTAATTTCACTCAAACGTTTCAAAAGGTTTATTAAAACTATGTACTATCGCAAATACTAAAAACTTTCACTCTTCGCATAAAATCGAAATGCGAAGATTTATTCGAAAGCATGATTAAAGATTTACATATGCTAATGAAACAAAGGGGTTAATTAAGGAAATTTCTAAAAAGAAAAAATTTTCAAGATGGATTGGGTTGTTACTCACATTAAGTGTTCGTTACAATTTAAAAGAGAAGTCGGCAGCTTAAATAATTCTTATGAAGAAAAAAAAACATTTCAAGTACGAAAAATGCTAAAGAGTTATTTGATGAAATTGAAGCTTATATTTCTTAGAAAACTTAATAACTTCTCTAGAATAATAATGACAAGATAACGTACTCATAGCGAGAAGTCAATTGCGTCTCTCAAAAAATAAATTTGATCTGAATTTTTATAGAAAAATGATTTTTGCATAATCTTCTTATTTGGCTGATATTAAATGTACACTTGGAGAATTTCATTTAGCTTAAATCATGTTTCATTTTAACAGCTGAGATCCCTTAATGCTGATGAGATTACTTCGGCATAAGGATATATGTTACTATTTTTGGTTTAAACAGAGAGTAAGTTAAGTGTAGGTTGATTCAAAAAACTCTGTTCTAGTTACTTTTAAGAAAGTTTCAAATTCATCAAAATTGAATTGAAAATTCATTTATGCTTTATAAAGTGCCAAAAAGCACCAATAGCTTTGTTTTATTACACAAAATAGAGTTATAATATGATTTAGACTCACTTAAAATATGATTAAAAAAAGGTAACACATGAGTCTAGTTTTAAACTTCCTTTCTCTCATTTTTTTTTAAAATTTTAAAGAAATAACTCTGTTGGTAAAAAATTCCATACACTTCAAGCATTTAATTTTGAGTTTTTATAACAATATTCCTGTTATTACTGGATTAAAAGCTTTATTCGTTTCAAAAATTTATAAAAGGGAAATAGCAGTCGAATATTTTAAGTGCTCAAAAACAGGTGCCCATTTTAAAGACTTGCCAGACGTGAATAAGAGGAAATAAAAGAGATTTGGATATTTACTTTTGCTTCATTCCCATTTGGCTAGTCTCGACTGTTATTTCTTATTCATATATTTTTGAATTGAATGATGTTTTGTATCAATTACTATCTTACCATTTTAGTTTCTTGGGATTATTTATTCGATTATTCCTGATAGTTTTCAGTAAAAAATTCTATTTTGGACATAATAAAAGTAGATTACTGTGCATTAGTTATGGAGAACAGTATTAAAAATAAAATTATTCTTATTTTATAATTTTATGGGGATTCGGGCATATTTTATAAGCGTTTATAAAATTGTTTTTAATTTTTTTGTCTTACTGTACTACTAGACCGTAGTACTTATTTAGTATACAAAATTGTGCACGATTTTTTTTATAAATCTTTAAAATTTTAAATCTTTAAAATTTTAAATCTTAAAAATATTTATTTATAATAACTAATTGAGCTAAACACATTAAACTTAAATATTTATAACTGTTAAGTAAAAATATCTATAGTTTAATAAGTTTTTAGCATAGTTTGCTATTTGCATTTCCTTATATATTTTTTTCTTAATTACTTAAAATAAAATTGTAATACTTACCAAAATCTCAATGAACTTTTGAATAAAGCATAAAATATTTGAAAAAATTTATTTTAAATTTCATACAGATGTTAACAATTTGTGAAAAATACGTCTTTAAATTTGAAAAAAAAATATAAAAAAATATTAATTAAGGAAAATGCATTCGAAGTTGACATGAATAAACACTTAAAGTCCAATACGGGAAATAAATGAAACCAAATCTGTATCACATTTTAACTTAAATAAAAAAAAAATTTGGGCAATTAGAAAATTGTATTAATAACATTTCTTTTTTTTAAAAAAAAACTTTTAGGATTTTTTGTCCTAGATAAATTTAATATCTTATACTTAGTATTAAACATTTGAGAAATAAATGTTTTATAGATGTTGCCATAATTTCTCTCAAAAAATACACTATGAAAACATTTCATATTTTATAATATTTATGAAAATAAAGAAAACATCATTGAAAATAATGTAATGTAATGGATGAAAATGATGTAATGTAAAATGTAAATGTATATAGGGATGAATAAAGAATTTAATTAAGATCAAATATTGAATTTCCCTTAGAAAATTTTAAGGTGTTTTTGAGGTTGTTTTGAAGTGTTAAAGTTGATTTGAAGTTGACTGCAATAACAACCTTTAAAAACCAACCTTCCAAGGATTATAATCAAGATGTATGAAATTGTTTTATTCTCACTTGAGGTTGTTTTGAGGTCGATAGAAATCTACCTTAGAGCAACCAGCTAATGGAAAATGTTTTTGAGGTGCACAGGTTATTTTTTCTGCACAACAAGCAAATAAATATATTTCTAGTGTAAATAATGTCTCCCAATTTCAACTAAAAGTATTGCTAAACAGTAAATTAGACTGATTTTATAAGGTGTAAATGAGGTTGAATTTGAGGTTTATGAATAAGGTTATTTTTAGAACAAAATATAACCTCATTTCTTACCATAGGTATATTTTTTAGACCTATCAACCTCAAATTAATCACAAAAGTATCTCATTTTTCTGTATGGGTCACTTATCAGAACATTTTTGAAAACAACTTGTTTTTTTTTCTTTTTCAGCAATGGGAGTAGATTTACCTGATTATATTTTACACTACAGAGGAAAATCACCAGATCTTGGATCATTTCGGGAACGAATGCAGATCAGTGGAAGGAGGTAATATTTGTACTTGTTATTTTTATATTTCGTTGCGGTGGGTGTCTCAAATAAATTATCTTTGCAATTCCAACGTGCAATACACTCTTAGAATTTTCACTCTAAAATTACGGTAAAATTACCGACAGCAGTCTGTTGATCTGATTAACTATAAAGTTCACGTTAGGAAACTTTTTTTGACTTTACCGGTTTGAAACCGCTTGCAAGTGTTGCGGTTAAAAAACCGTGAATACAAAATTGCAAGGTTTCGTAATAACTGTTTTTCCTTCTGTCCACCCGATTAATCATGAAGCTTATGAGCAGAAACATTTTTTTTTACTTCAGCGGTTTTGAAACCGTTTACAACTATTACGGTTAAGAAACCGCGAATATAAAACTGTACGATTTTGTAGCTATTTAGAACTAGCATAGTTTCCGTACCATAAAAATAAATTTTAAGTGGATATTGGAGTTGTGTTGCGTCATTAATCGGCGACTGATAGTTTCATATTCAAATTGTCTAAGGTCACCATTTGAAAAACGCAGGAAAAGGGCATTGCAGGAATGGAAGAAATATTGTGGTACCAACGCTGGGATTGGAGCCCCTGTTGAGCCGGTCATTTGACTCTCTGATTAGGCTTCTTAGCTACAGTATGTATCCAGCTGCATGAAAAAACTGGCTTCATCAGGTTAGAATTCTAGTTGTTAAGCAGTATTAGGTAAAACTAATCCACAAATGTTTTTATCACACTTAGTAGTTTGAATATCATTTTTTAAAGAGAAATTTCTATCAGCGTAACACCAAACTTCACTTGTGACAAATAAAAAAAACTGTTGCTTACAGATATCTTGCAAGGCATAGTTTGTGTGAGGTATCTAATGCTAAAGCATAGAGGTTCTTCAATGATTTCGAGCCTTAAACTTGTATTTTTTTTCTGTCACAGTATGCTAAAAACGAAAATCACAGTAGAACGGTCAAAAAGAGTAGAAACGCAATAGTGTAGAAGCTCTTCGATATTTGCACAATAATAATTCAAAAAAATAAAGCAAAAAAAACATAAGCTGCTAAGAAATTTATTGGGCAAATTAAAGATGAAACTTTTTATTAACTTTTGATCTAATAATCAGATTTTCACATATTTTCACATATTTTTCTACCACTAATACCTACTAATTTAAATATTATCTTAAAATTTAAGTTAAAGAAATTTTTTTACCTTTACGAACATTTTTTACCCTAGAACTCGTATGGTTAAAAAAACCAAGAATAAAAAAAATTCGTGTTTGTAAACTATTTACAACCAGCATGGTTTCAAAACAGTAAAAAAGAAATTATACAATGCATTGGAGCTTGGTATTTCGTTGGATAATGGGCATTGGAGTTAGGTCGGGGTTGAGTTGTGTTCTATCAAATGAACCGTGGAATGGGTTTAATTTGTATTTCTGTTCGTTTCATCTATCACAAAATATGAGAAATACTAAACTTGTTTTATTAAGCTGCTTTATGGTGTAGAAATATTGTGGTGTCAAACAAAGAGGCTGCAACCCCAGTTCTGTAGGTCACGTGATTAATAGATTACCCCTCTTGGCTATAATATTTAGCCAGCTTCAAGGAGCTAAATGACTTCATTAGGTGGGTCTATGGTTATTTGACTATTTTGTTTGAATGTGGAAGAATTAAAAATAAATAAATTGTTATTTAACCTTTTTTTGTGAGAAATTTCTAACAGTGTGCGTGGGTGTAAATTAGTGTGTAATAGTGGTTCTTATGTCTACAAATGTGCATCTCAGGGAAGTATTGTGAGATGATGTTTAACTTTATCTTAAAGAACTTTATGCTGTCCATAATTTTATCATCATTATTTAATATTTTATTGCTCTGATAATATATTAATTGCATGATAATTTATAAGCTCTTATATATACTTTGATATTTTAGTTTTTATCCTCTTTTCTTATATTCTATAAATAAAACTTTAATTTATTAATTAGTGAATAATAATCTTTTAAATATTTAAGTTTAATCTCCACGTTAATGTGAGAAGATTGTATTTATGAATAAATTATTTTCGCGCAAATTACAAGGGAATTAAAATTTTCATACACTGCACTAGTAAAATAAAATAATAAATATTCATAATCAATTTTATAAAGATATTTCCTCGAGAAAAGCTTCTAATTAGTTGCATTGGTTAATTAAGTTTCTAGAAATTCAATCACAGTTAATTTTTTGAAGAATATTAGCTTATTAACTTGAATGTTTAGGATCGAAATAATATTAAGATAAATCTAGATTGAGTAATTAACCACTTAAGTAATTTTTCAAAATTTTATCAAAAGAGAAAAATAATTACAGTCTTCAAATGTTTTTATTAAAGGAAGAGCATAATTAATAGAGAGTCGCCTTAGCTAAAAAGGTACTATTTTAAGGTATAATTAAAATCCACAGAATAGTATCTAATGTATAATCCAATTCATAATTTTACATGAGCGTGCAGGATGAAATAAATCTTGTCCCATGGCACTTAAGTTTGTAAAAACCAAGAATAATAGATTGTTTGTCTTTCTAATTTAACGCCCTCCTTAAGTAAAGAGAACATTATTAAAACTAATTATCACGAGCGAGTTAATTTTATTAGTTTATTTAATAATTAAATTGCCAATAAAAATAAGCGAAATTATTCTCCTAAACATACTTAAATCGTGTCAATTATTTCAAAGAATGGTATTAATTCCCAAGTTATGAACTTTTATTTAAGTTGTTAGATTAAGCATAGATGTGAGTTTCTGGCTTAACGTGAATTTAAAATTAGTGAAACTGAAAAATAAAATAGCGGTTTATAAAAATTGAACCAATAGCATAAAAAGGTTAAACGAGCGGCTAAAAAAGATTAAACCAACGGCATAAAAAGATTGAACTAGCGGCACAAAAATATTGAACCAGATTGCATCGTTACAATTCACCTATTATTTAAAAATAATACTAATTTAAAAATAATTTTAAAAACATTTCTACTTAATTTGAATTTTTTGGAAATTGTAGAGACATACACGGAGAAAAAAAACTTTTAAAATTACCGTACTGGTGACATTAATGACATTATTTCTGGTTTAAGAAAAAGCCAAAACTTTGGTAATAAAAACTAAAATATATGGTATTTAAACAATTCATTTGGTAATTTTTCCGTTCATATGGTAACGGCTTGCAGATATTATGGTTTTCAAAATCATAGCTCTTATTGGCACACATTTAGTAAAAAATACAAATTAAAAAAGTAACCGTATCATAATCTTACTTTTTCTTAGTGAAATAATCTTCATTTTTGCTGCAAACTTAATATAGTACCAAAGCGGTTCATATTAATGTAGCTCTAGTTCTTAAAACTTATTGTACGATGCTGTAGTTCAATAAGGACGATAATCTCTTGTTCAATTTAACACCTTATTAAGGTTGTGCTAAATTTGAACTATATTATGGTCTAATGTACCAAAATTAAAGTTTGTTGTTGAACCCATTTTTATAAGAGTGAACAATGGATTTTATTAAGAAATAACCAATGATAATTTATTTCACCAGTCAATGCAAGACAATTAAGATTATTCCACAAAGTATTAACTAACAAGTTAAGCTTAATTTAAAAATTTTTATTTAAATTTTAATATAAAAAAATTCTTATGATAAAAAAACATATAAGGGTGATTCTCACGAAATATGACAATTCACTGCTCCTTGCTCTAAGATCTAATACTATAATTCCAAAAGAACTTATTAAAAAAAATTACTAAATTGCATTGCTGTTAGCATTTTAAAATGACTTTGCACTATCATTGACTGTTTTGTATAATTAAAAAATTTAATTGTCATTTGTCAAATTGTCATTTTCCTGGCATGTCCCAAACAATGTTTCCATTAATAACAAGCTTCAAAACTTCCCATAAATTTTTCAATATCTAATTTTTTTTATCTCAACCGGTGTAAGCATTTCTAGAATATACGCAGAGGGTATTATATACAAAAACTTCACTTAAAATAATTTTTTCTGTCAATAATTTCTTTGTCCCAAGAAAATCTGTCATTTTCCTGGCTACTTTTATTTAGTGGTCTATAGCCAAAATAGATAGAGCAAGCAATCAATATCTTATGTTAATAGATTGATTAGATACCCTCCTATATGAACATGTCTTGTTGCATGAATAAAGAACCAATTTTCTGGTTCAAAATCTATTTCAAAAAATTTTTCAAGATTAGTAGGTTTTTGTGTTGTTATTTTCCTGGCTTCTTGAAATTATTAATAACATAAACTACATAGATTTATCTGAGTTATTTTAAGAAATCCTGATGTTTTCTGCGGAATGTAAACGTCTTAGGACAAAATATTAAATTAAAGTAAAGTTATATGCTATAAAATGACGAATTTGTCATTATCCTGGTTGTCATTTTCCTGGCTTATGAATTCCAGGACATTGAATTGTTACCAAAATTTTTTTTAACTGCTAATACTGTAAGGAGGAAAAGCAAATATTAACCTAATAATAAGTTTATGTATGATTGTAATATGGTTGGATGTAATCAAAGTTATTTATTTATTTAATGATTGATTATTATACACAATTTTATTCTGTACATATCAGCAACAAAAAAAATTTGATTCTTTCTACAATGGATACTAAGAATTAATGTAAGCAATTGATGGTCCATCTAACATAGAGGCTTAAGTTGAGTTACTTACTATTAACCTAAAATTATTGTTTTTCAAACTTCTAAGCTAATATGTCATTTTTCTGGCATTCAAGATTTGGTGAATTTCTATTTTATTATTTTTTTTCTGGAGTAAATGTCAATAAACTACACTGCTGTCTGTTAGATATTAATAAATGTAACTAAAGAAGTATACAAAAAAAATTTTGGATTATTTTGAAGACTTTAAATTTGATGAAATTTTTTGGTCCGAATTGTCATGTTTAAAAAGAATCACTCATAAGAGCTTCTCATAAGCTGTACAATTACCCCTCACTGATCA